CAACCCCATGCCACTGGCTCATTTTTTCTTTCTCCAATATTTGTCTAAATAAATTTTCCTTCCTATCTTCAGATTTTTGGCTTCATCCTCAGCACGCACATATACACACATGGACTTCTTCACACAGACTCTTATTACACTTTAGGGCGAAGGGAGGTGTGCAAAAAATCTAGAGAAATATATACGAACGTAAAAGTCAGTGAAATCCTGCAGACTGATCGGGCTGATATGAATCCAAATCACGAGCACTTCTCTTTATACAAAATTAGAATTTGTGTTGGCGTGGGTGAAGGAAGCCATTTTGGTTTGGCTGTGATCGTTCCCATGCCGCTGTTACAGTGCTGCAAAAATATACAGTGCAACCAGCATTATTTTACATATACAAGGCTGATATTAGCACGCTGCCATTTTCATTATATTATTAAGACTGAAATTCAACAGTTTTTCTTTCTGAGTTGGGGTTTATTTTGCCTCCAGCAGAGATTGTCATATTTTTGTCACTTTCAGTTAACACAGAAGTTGCAGTAATTATTGTTCAAAACAACACTTTCACATTTCTGGGAAGGAAAAAAAAAGTGCTGATTTAGGAATTTCTGTAAACAATATTCACTTTTTTTACCCCAGTCAGAAAATTGGCTGATTGGCTCATTGTTTTTATAGCTGGGGAGTTAGCAGTCAATAAGCGCACACTAGACGTCCGTGTGTTTAACTGAAAGAAAAAAAAAAGAAGAAATGTGACATATGGCACGCTGGAGGTCTGGAGTCAGGAAAGTGATTTAAAACTCTTTATTGCTTACACAAACATGTTTTAGTTAATTGGTATAATTGAGATATTTCATAATCTTTATTTCTACAAACTATCGACTTAGCTTTGTGTGTGTGTGGGCAGATACAAGCAAAGCCAGTAAACATAATAACCCACCCACACTTTTGCTTATAAGCTGAAATCGCAACAGGAAAAACCACATGGAAAATATTAATGCCATCAAACTGCCCATGTGTGCAGTATGCATGCATATTTTGTACAGAGACCATACAGTATTTAAAGCCTTGAAAACATCTTGCTTGAGTGGACTGTGTCCAGGTGTACATTGAGCTGCCCCATCAAAACTGTTTCTGATTTGTGGTTTTCACTTTTAAAAAGCACAGAGATGTTATGTGTAATGCAATCTTCTGGCTGTGTTGGACTGTTACCTCAGTGTGTACGCCGTGGAAGACCCCAGACATGCAAACAAAGGAGTCTCTGTTCTGGCTACATGCACCTTTTTCACAGGCGCACATCATGTAAAGGCTTGGCTGGGTATCTTGCTGCAGTGTTAAAACCTGCATTAAAGCTTATGGGCTTCTTTCACAAAAAGCTTTACCAATTGTGAGGGTCGAGTATTTCTGAGCATTGTCGACAAGACCAAAGAATATCAGTCTCTACTGTGCTATTCACACAGAATAAATAGAAAAGAAGTAACAGGAAGCCCATATTTTTTTTACACGCACAGCTGGGGATTGGTTTAATCTTAGAAAGTAGGGAAAGCATTTTAAAAAGTTATATACTCCTTATGATTGGTGATTATTGTTTACGAATATACTGAATATATTTAATCTGGGTTTCTTTATTACACAGTAATCACCGCTACAACCCGACGCAGAAAATCATATAAATTTATCATATATATACTTGAACCTCTAATTTGCCTGATTTCACTTCAAAAGAAAACCACATGTAACAAACCGCCGCACAGCTAATGCATAAGCGTCAATTGGGAAATGATTGACTTGTATACACAGCGAGCGGTCAGAACGAATTTTGCAAAAAGAAAATGCAGACACATTCCCTGAATGTTATGGCTTTGAAGAAATACATGGGTTAACCTCTTCTGAAATCTCAGTATACGAATAAAATACTACACAACTCAGCTAAAATATAATGATTTGGACAGCCCTCGCAAAATTGTTAAGGGAAGCTTTTATGTAGTTAGACTAAAGAAAACTTCCCTATTGAAAAATGCCAGTCAGGTAGTTCTCAGCAGGGGTTCATTTTTATGATTATTTTTGTTATTAGTAAGAAAATAGCCCAAAAAAGCTCAATGTATCATGTTTTTTGTGCTTGTATTACTTGATCATCAATCCAAGACCTAAAGATATTATCTATTAGGTGACAAAAGCAGCAAATAGTAGTGGATGGTTGTTTAAAAAAAAGAGAGAGTGCAAGGGAAAGAGAAAATTCACACAATGGTCACACCTTTATTGGTTTTTTTTTGCATAATATAGTTTATTAAATGTGCTAAAAACCCTTTGCAACCATTAGCTCCTGAGCAAAAGGTGCACATCCTCTTTGAAATCTCACGTTTAATGTTCTCTATTAAAGGATCAGGCACCAAACAGTGAACTCTGTGTTCAGAGTGCTATTCAGCACTGGTGTGTAAGAGTCTATTTGACAGCACCGACAGAGCTGCAACTGACATGTTTTGAAAAGCCCAAATTGCCTTATCCACTAAGAAGGTATTTGTTGACACAACACTGCAAACCTGGAGTGGGTGTTGGTGATTGACATATGACCGCTGCAGCTGGGAAACTACAAAGCTGGACATTTATCCCAATTAGCACAAGCAAATGCATATAAGTGACATAATTAGGGCAGATTTGGAAATGTAGCTAACAACGATGGACGTCGAGGTCTCCGATGTGCGCCGTAAGTAGACAATAAGCTGCTAAAGCTCCTGCTCGACCTCTCACTATAGTTACTCAATCCCAACATCAAAGGAAAGGCAATCTTACGGCCATAGGATGATGGCGTGTGAATGCATGTGTGAGGGTTTTTTATGAGAACATGTGTGTACGGGTTTATGGGTATATATGTGGGTGTGTTTAAGAGCACGTACATATGTTCTTGTTCATCAAAAGGCCCAATTTAAATGTTACATCGTGAGACTAAGCACATTTTTAGAAAGTGAGGACATTTTGCCGGATCTTTACTTCTTCAAAGGGCTGTCAGAGTAGAGGCATGTTTTGGGAGGGGTTGGTGTTATAAATACATTAACTTTTAAAGGGTCAGTTACACAATTTACAAAACACGATTAAAAAAAAATTAAAAGCAAACTTTGAAAAACAGATTAAAGCATCAATCTTAGATTATCTGGAATACCCAGGAAAAAGTTTTAGATGTATCTTGAACATTTAGGCAAAGAAAGATGTGCATTCACTCATCTATCCATTTCCCAGGTGTTTGGCTGCTAGTCTATTCTTCACATCGCTTCCCCTTTCTCGTGTTGTAAAACTCAATGCTGACATCACTGCTCTAGTCCAATCATCTTTTCGCCCGCCTACTTCAAATCAATCTGTCTCCACTCTGTGTACTATAAATCTCACTGCTCATCTTTTATTATCCCATGTGGACTCTTTTGTGCACCCAGTCCTCCACCTCAAGCAAGCCAATCAGTGTATCATGTGTATCTTTACCAGCAGCAGCTAGATTGTGGTGGGATCCTGTCCGAGTTTCTAACACTGGATTCCATTCTGCTGTGATGGGCCATCAAAGTCTAATCGGCAAATTTGATAGTTGTATATCTTCTAATGATCTCTCCTCATTGAATTATGTTTTTATTACCTTTGTTTTTGGGAGCAGGATGTAGGTTACATCTCAAAGTCTAAACAGAGAAATCCTAAATCATGTCCATGGGCATGCTGCATCATGAAATTGGCAAAAGGGGGCGGGTCTCCCCTGAAATATTTGCAGACAAGCTGGTTTTTATTTCTGACGGAGTTTTCTGATTTCCCATGAGCCCCAATTGTTAGACCTCATTGCGCCTTCCTCTTTTTAAAAATCCGGGAAAATGCCTCTCTGTATCATAAAGGAATAGGCAAAAAGATATGTTTTGCAAAGTGGGTGAACTGACCCTTAATCTTGGGATAGTGGTTTAATAGTCATGATGGTTATGCTGATCCTTATGGGGGCAATGCATTATTTCAGTGTGCTTTCACAGTTACCGGCGCTTTGCCCATATTAGAAAGTGCACGATTTTCACACGACTGAAACTACACAGCTTCTTGCACGTGAGCTTATAACTTGTGAATTACTTTGTGTCAGAAAACGTGTCACTTCCTTTTACAGTAAACGAGTATGTTTATATGAAACAGTGTGTGCGTGTCTATGTCTGTGTGTGATTGAAGGTGTGTATGGATCCTGCTGTCCTTGGCCTGACTTATTTGGAAAAGCTCTAATTGATGTGGAGCTTCCACCTCATCGTGTTTTGTCAGGACATGAAGACCTTGCTGCTGGATCAACAAATCCTGGAGCTCTGAATTCTGCCATATGTCCAGCCATGTGTTCCCATCTACCAGCTGGGAGCACTCAGCACCGATCCTGTCTTATTCACTGAGTCTATGTGCGACTGGGACCATGATGCTCCAGAGTGGGACCAGAGATCCAACTAGCTTGTTATTGTAAACTATTACTGCTGCTTTGTCTGGTTCAGTGGGCTGACATGTTGCCAAAACTGTGAGGGCTTATGGATTAATCCATCAGACGTTAAATAGATATAAAAAAAATTAACTTTTAAGTTATTAAGAATCAAACCTTCCAATCATATATTTAATATTTAAATCTGATCTGAAACCTTGTGAAACACACTGACTGTCACATCAAATGATGGAAACTTTTCTGATGCAGGCCTATGAGAAAGAAACTGGTGGACATAGTCATTTTTTATTAATGTTCAGAATTTCCACAGAGACAAAAGCATAACTTGGAAATGTGCCCACAACAGTGGCGGTAAAAAGGCGACACATCACTTTTGACTTGTGTTTTCCTCTCATGCTAACCACATGGTTTGTTTGTCCATTTTCCACTTTTCTTCACTGAGAAATGTGTACATTTCACATTTTCCAGTCTACACCCAAACATAACAATCCATAAACTCTTCTTGTTAAAGGGTGACATCAGCTTACTCAGACATTTATTTATTTAAGTCTGCAGGGCTTACAGGAAAAGACGTGGGCGATCTTACCTGGTTTGGTGACCGAAACTCTTGGTTATTGTCATTCATGTACATGTTGTCACCATCAAACTGTGAACAGAAAAAAGAAAAAAAGAAATAAACATTGTATGCAAGAAGAGGTTTTTTTTTATTTTTTAAAAAGGGTGGTGGGTCTGTGAAAGAGGTACTAAAGAGGAAAAGCTCTTTACGGGTGGCCTGAAGTGTGAGACTAATGACTTTGTCACTTTGGTTAAACCTCGTGGTGGCATGGCAGCATGGGTAATTACTGTTTCGTCAGCGGGCCGGTAATTAGGCTACATGAGCAAAGTGATGAGAGATGGGCTTTTCCCTCTGGGCTGTGCTGTGTGTGTGCGAGAAAGAGAATGAGTGCGGGTGAATCTGTGAGTGCTTACTGTAGTAAAGTGTGCGTGGCTTAGAGGCTTGCACATGTGTGTTGGTGTGTGTGTGTAGCACAATGAGGGCATGCTGCGTCTTTAGATTTGAGCTAATCAGGCAATGAAGGATCGCTTGCTGCAGGTGCCAAAACATTGCTTGTCATGGGGTTAGGACTCACATAACAACAAATTACTTTTGACCCACGGGGATGCTGGGAAGCAACACTGGGTCACCATTTCAGAGTTTCATGCAACATGCTAGCCTTCATGTCTAGCATGTTACTGAGCTAAATTCCCCATCGAGATCAACTATGAGTGCGCTACGAATAAAGAAAAAAACCACAGACGGATTCTGTTTTTAGCTCAAGCGGAAATAAGATTCAGCCGCCACAAACGGCTCGGTAACGGAACCTGTGTGCTGCCAAGGTGACTGAAAAGCTGTGACCACGTTAAGGAGAGCATCGTTGTGAAATGCTCTTGGCTTCCAAAGGCATCAAGGTTTGTCACCGCGCACTTGCGGCAAATAGAAAAAACCTTGACTGGAGCGGGTAGTGTTGCACGTGAACACACGTACACGTAGAAACTCAATGTGTCAAATAAAGCTCCCTTTTTTTTGTTTGTTGATGGAGGCCGTTCTTTGCAATATGACTGCGCAGTCGACTCGGGAACAGACAGGAGAAAAAACACGATCAAACTACACAGCGCTCCATGTCAAATTCCTCAGATGTGAAGATACGGGAGGCCCTTTTCATTTCGGGTGGTCTGCTTTGTGTCGGCAACGAAAGCGACCAAAGCCTTGAAAAATAGACACGCACTGGATATGAGTGGACGCAAATGGATCATAACATATACCTGCTCAAAAACAGTGACCAAATAAGTAGACTAATGGACGGAAATGGGCAGAATTCCTGAGGGGGAAATCTAATATCTGCGCTTGTAGACAGGAAAAAGTCGAAGCAAATGAGCGTGTGAGTGGTGAGAAAGAGAAATTACTGTACATTATTGTAGGAGAAAGGACGGGGGAATGAGTTCCTGCCTCGGGGCAATGCTTGGCTAACGATGCATACTGTGGAAACCCAGGCGAGGATTCACTTGGTTATTCTAATGATTAAATTCATACGAAAACATGAAACTGACACAAGAGGTGCATTTAAGCCTCGTTCACACCTGACATGATTAATCCAACATCACTGCACCAGCAGCTGGAAAATAAAAACCCTGACATCTCATCTTCACATTAAACTGATAATTGTTCAATGCCACATGCTAAAGCTGCTAATTTGCTTAATCAAGCATGCCGGTGTCTATCATCTGACCGAACTGCGGCGGGAAGTGACTGCCGCTCGCTGAGAGGGCCAAACTAATGTTGACCTTGGTGACATAGCTGCAATAAACTCTTCACTCCGCACATGAAAGCCTCTTGTCATCGCCTAACTGAGCAATTTCATTCCATTGAAATCCACTTTGATATCACTGGTGACATAACGCCATTCCGAGAGCTTCTTCAGAATAAGATTCTCTCGGATAAAAAGCGACTGCGAACAATGGCATTTTCAACCCCGCCAACGCCGCCACGGCTCTCATTACAGCTAACTCTGCCACGTGAATTCTTCGAGAGCGAATCCTCGACGGCGTTTGTTTCTGCCCTGCTCTGAAGGAACAAATGAAGTGAGATAATGTTTATTTCCACCAATTACATCTATAATGCAATATTCACCAAAAAAAGGCTCAAACTGCCCAGAAAGGTCAACCATTTTGTGCTTCAACATGGCTGCCCACAGACTGCAATGTAAAGCTCTTTCCTCTTGCTCCTTTTGATAGCTCTCCTTAGCAGTTCCTCACTCTCCCACTTAATATGCCAATTTATCCTCGGCTCAATGCTATCAACTCTGCCATTACTCCACATATACACCGCAGAAATTCTCTCATTCCCCTTTCTCTTCATCTTTCCCCTTTCCCCTCAGTCTCTCCATCTTTCTTTCCACATCCTTCCTTTTTTCACAGTTTCTCATGTTCCCCTTGCTCCATTTTTTCCCCCGTGTTTCTCATCCTCGACACCCTTTTCTCCATGTTGCAACCTCCTTACTTCCACTTCTCTGTCTCCCTGCCTACTCCTCTTTGCCCCATCTTTTCTCTCTTTCTTCACCGGGCCTTGGCATCACTTTCTCATCGGCAGTCTAATTGGGCATTCTGCCTGAGACAAGGGCCTCATTAAGCAGTAATTACACACATGTTGTTTTCGGCAAACATCTCTATTTGGATTGCTTTGCATGGTAATTGTTCAGCAGGGACCACTGCTCGCGATGTTTCCCTCCGTGGCACACGTGGTGCTGGTAGAGAGGAATAAAAACATGGAGAAGAAGGGAGGGGTAGAGAGAGCGAGAGAGGGGGGAAGGAGAGGGGGTGAGAACAGAGAAAAATAATAATAGGCTGTGGAAGAGAGACAAATTGAGAAATAAAGAATGCATACATGGGAGAGAAGGAGGATGAGTAACACAGAGGCAGAACAGAGGCAGCCTGAAAGGATGAAGGCAATGCTGAGGCAGTAAATGGAGAAAGACAATGAATAAATGACAAAAAAAAGGAGGTAGACAGGTTCAGTGTGAAAAGAAAATGAGGTGGAGCTGTAGAGAGGGCATACAAAAAGAGAGACACACAGAATGAGTAAATTAGGTAGAGAAGTGAGAAAGTAAAGACAGTGACAGAGAGAGACGGAGAGACAGAGTCCCAGAACTAGGTCATGCCGTGCAATCATCGAGCGTTTCAAAAATAATGAAGCCACAAGGTGGAAGTAATGCTAACTAGCATATCCAGGGAAAACATGTAATATTTACACAGTGGTAATGGGGCAATACAATGCTGGGATCTTTTATCTTGGGAGTATATTTTTGAGACAGCTGATGACGGAATTGGAGGCAGAATTACAGAGTCCGCCGAGGATCGCGTTTGATTGACGGACAACACGAGACTTCTAGGAAACATCTGTTTGTGAAGAGGGTGGGGTGGAGTTCAACTGCTCTGGGTGTCTGTGTAACGCCCAAACTGCTCAGTGATTAGAGAGACAAATCACCTTGTAGTAATGAAAAATGTCAAAAGCTACAAAGCATCACGACAATTTGGCCGAATTTACACAACTGGACGTAATTATGTCAAATACACAATCACATGCCTGCTAATATTAGCGGCTGCGTTTATTTCAAGTTCGGTTCATTAAGCATTTTATTACTAGCCTGTCTCTATGGGCTGCAGGAATTGTGAAAAGTACATAAGTACATTTATGTTACTACTGGGCTGCAGGGCTGCCCCATGAGCACGAGCTCTTGCTTTTCTGCCGCAGGCACAACTCTTTGCGCTCGCTGAGTGGCAGTAGCACATTCAACCGTCCGCACCGCAGCTGAGCCATTTTACTTCCTTTCAAGTGATCACTTTGCATGTAAATATATCCAAATTGGCATTATCTGTAACATAAGTGTATGGTAATTTTTGTCAGAGGATGTCAAGGTTATAAAACTCAGGATTTCAGCAGTGCAGAAGTGCATCTTGGAATCGGCTGCCTGTTAACGAGGGAGTCTTAATTGGTCACCTTCCTGTCATTATTTCACACTTGTTCCATTGTCTCATAAGCAGAAATATGTAAATGAGAAGAGCTTTATTGGAAATTTGCCTGTATGAAAATACAGTATATGTCAGCACAGAGAGAGTAGGAGAGACGCAAACAGCTGGCTGAACTAGCTAGAATGCAAATACGGTGCAGTGATGTCATGGATATGCTAAATAGCATATGGCATTATCTGAACTGGCTTCCCAGTGAAAGTTAATGACACTTCCAGAAAATGGTGTGAGGCAGTACATTTGTCAAAAAGAGTAGGAAACCCCCGTCACATATGACATGTAACTTTTATTTAGTACTAAACATTTAGCCCACATAGTAGAAATGAGCAACATATATAGGTCATGTGTCACGGGTCAGTCACAAGAATATAAATAAATAAATAAATAAATACTGGGATATGATTAGTTTGAGGAATTTTATGCTACTTGTCTCTTTTTCCAGCTACACTTTAAAGGGAAAATGTCTCATTCAGCTGACATACTAAGCTTTCATATGCAATGCATTATATCAAATTATACATTACTAACCATGGGTACAGAATAAACTGCTCAAAACTTAATAAACTTATAGATTTACAACATTAGAACGATCTATGTCAGCTGTAAAGTTTTAATGTTGTTAAAATATGTATAAGTATAGATAACAACAAACCAATTATACAGTATAGACAAACATGAGAGATTTCCCTATTATTTCTTTCATTATGACAGGAGAACTGCATTATCATAGAACATAACGCCCACTGGGGTTTACCACCTTATTAAATATCACAGCACAACGCCAGTGGCCGCAGATACAATCAGATATCGGCGGCAACTTTGCACGTTTATGCAATCAACACCCTACAGACCTTTGTAATGTATGTAAAAGCATTCAGAAAGGAAAAACTGTATAGAACCCCCCCCCCCCCCCATACATTATCATGTTAAAGAACAACCCGAAACATCTTTTTTTATTACTTTTTCAGTTAATAAAAGAGAATCTATAAGCAGAATATGTAATATTTGTGACTTTAAAAGCCTTTGCCAGTACACCAAGTCTCTAAAAATAATTCTCTCACCGAGTGGAATTAATAAGCCCAG